CAAAGCCCAGTCTTTACTTCTGACATGGAGACTCTCACCATTATACAGGAAACCCCCACTATTCGCAGGTTTGGTATTTGCGGTTTCAAATATTCGCCAATGCCGAACCCGCATTTTTAAATGTACTTTACACACTTACAGGAACTCCTTGGGAGCTCCCGCCACCACTGGAGCCGTGTCCACCCCTCCCAGCTGCCGGGGGCGCTGCGTTCTTGAACGCAGACCGTGTTCATGAATGCAGTGCCTTATTCACGGATTTCGCCATTCGCGGAGGATACGAGAACATATCCCCTGCGAGGGTCGCTTGTATTGGATTAAAGCACGGTCACAGGACATCTGCAGATGGTTTTGTGCCAGCGAGAAATCCGTGACTGTCAAAACAAATTGACTTTTTCTCTCTAGCTTTCCTCTTCTGAGAGAATCGTAAAGCATGTTAACATGCGCTCGGGGTTCTCTTCGAGTAGTGATTTGCACTGCAGAGTGGAGAAAAAACATCCATCTCATTAAAATACTCTAGAAGTATTAAAATTGAAGAGGGCACCTGAAATCAGTGCAGCGTAATGGGCCAAAAAATGGTCCTTCTGATGTGATAAATACTATGGTGCCGTGTAGTTGAGAGATCCCAGGATTGGGATCTCTCATGGAAAAACCAGGCACCTCCACTGACAGTCTCTCATCACCCTGTTGGATGTTGACTTTAGTACTGACCTGTGGGGAGGATTCATCGTTTACAGAATAAGCAGCATCACTTCTACAGCATTCGGAGAACATCTTGGTGGTCTTGCAGTGATATAACCCTGCTTAACTTGAGACCCTGTTGGATGCCCACAAGGTCAGGCTGAGTATCGGCTGAATGGACCCTTCACTCAAAAGTTTCTTGCTTCCAGCCCATGTACTTTACTCTTTGACGTGTTTGGTGCTTGAGAATGAAAGTGGAACATGCAAGGGCTTTATTTTGTCTTCACCAAGAATGGTCCAACACGTGTAGAGCACCAAAATGCTGGAGAACTAGTAGAAGTTGCTGTCTCTTTGTTGTGCTCAACTAGGAGTCATATTTCTGCTGGACAGATGGCTTCTGCCTCATTTTCACAATTCTCTGTATGTCACCACTGTATAAATCTGGGACTTTCCTTTTAAAGCTCCTTCTGGAAAAGGCCAAACTGTTGTCCTTCCTGTGAGCTTCAAAGAATGTGGTACCCTGCTTGGCAGAGTCGGACCCAACTCTCTCTGCTCTCATCTGTACTTGCTGAGCTGGAATATTTGCTCTTACAGACTGCTATTTGTTTTTACAGACTGCTGCAGCAGCAGCTCACGGATCGAACGAATCTTCTCAGCACAGTGAACTGCTGTCTGTTCAGCTGGAGACGCGCTCCTCCTTGCACCACTGAGGGCTGTTGCTTGTCTTGGAGAGATGTGCCCAGGGCTGATTCAGGGAAGGAAGCTGGATCTGTCTTCGGTTCTACTAGCTTTGTTCTGGCTTTGGATGCACTTCATTGCATCTGTTCTGTCGAAATGTAACCACACTGAAAACTGCAATTGGCTGGAGGGGGACAGCTTCAAGGGAAGTACTCTGCTTTGAGCAGTGTTGCTTCTCTGACTAGCTGAGGGATCGAACTGCTGACCTCTGGATATAAAAGTGTGACATTTCGCTGTTCAAGCGGCAGGGGCAGATGAGTTGGCTTCCAGGCAGCAGCAGGCTTAGCAAATGCCTTTATGTGGATCAGACACTAACCCTGTGTAAGAGGTTCTGCTATAATGGGAGTTGTACATGCATATCACAAAAAGATACAGCATGTGTTGCTTGATTTTTCTCAAATGCAATAATATGAAAACACTCCTCACCGATTTGTATTCCTTGCAGGCTTTTCAGAAGTTCAGCTTCTCTTCTCGTCTTTCCTCCACCTGTTTCTTGGTGCACCCTCTTTTCCTATTCCAAATTGCTGTGGTCCTCCTTTGTACTTCTGCAAGAAGGATTAACTTGATCTGATCCAAAAGGCAATGTTCCTGGTACGCAGCTTGTAACTTGCTGTGGAATTTGTACCTCAGCTTGGCCTTGCTCACAGACAGCTGAACCCTAAGAGGCCTTTTAGTTGCACCCTGGGGAATTGCACAATTATGTAGCCACGCAGTTTTGTGCATTAAACCTATGACCACACATAACCGCATCATTTTGCATAACCCAGGCGGGCTCTGTGCTTCTACCTCCACAGGGCTCCCAACACTCCAGCTGGGAGCTCCTGCCTGCAGGGGGGGGCTTGTGGGTAGATGACAGCCCCTGCTGCCAGTGCCCCTCTGGGCACTCATGGCCATGGCAGGAACAGCCCTCCAGCAGCATATGGCTCTGGTAGAGTCCCAGGGGTTGCATATGGTGGCACAGATGCACCCTAGCAGGTCAGCTCTTCAGACCAGACCAGGCTAGCTCTATGCCAGCATGTGAGGCTCACAGCACTGCATGCAGGAGCTACGTGCCATCAGGCTGGGCCAGCTGGCTCCATGCCTCCACATGGTGCTTCCAAGTACTCCAGCGGGAAGCTGCACGTGGAGGCATAGAGCCTACCCAACCTGATTGGCATGCAGCTCCTTCCTGCAGGCCTCAAGCCCCACGTGGAGGCACAGAGCCAGCCCAGTCTGATCTGAAGGCGTGCACCAGCAGGTCAAGCCGATGCCACTGCCTGCAGCCCCTGGGACTCAATACATAACTTGGAACTTTTTCTGCGCATAATTCCCTGGGGTGTATTTAATGTGTGGCTACTTATCTTGTCAGCATTGTGGTGGATGGGAGTTGGATATAGCATCTGTGCCCTCTTGTTTATGGATGTTAACTCTTTCACAGGTGCCAGGTGTTTATTGGAAAATGACTACCATAGTGCATGTAACGCATGCGCTCCATATGGGAACTCTTTAAGGCTGGTGTTACAGTATGCAAAAAGGTGTATGGCATATTTTTTAATGCCACAGTAGCCATTACCAGCACACCAATATAATCCTGGCTGTATATGTTAGTTCCCACTAGATCTGAAATCCCAGTGAGGATGACCAAAAAGAAAAGCTAGGTGAAACCCTGAGTGAAAATCAGAATCTAAATGCTTCCATTGAGGGTGGATGGGAAGGAATGTAGATGGGGGTCCCCTGTGTCTCTCTCTTCTCTCTTGCTAGGTCTTAAATACTTAACCTTTATGAGGCTTAAAAATCTTGGTTCAAATTCTTCAGGGTTTTTTATGAAGTTACTCATGTACATATCTATCTTGAGCACAAATGTATGTGTTTTTTGGGGTTTATCAGGAATGATTTATGTTACTGGTATTATTCTATGCTATAACTTCCCATATGCCATGGATTAGGCAGTGATTGCACTAACATGTGTATTCTGCTGGGAAGCTTTGATTCCTACTACTGCTGATCAGCAACTTCAACTCTTGGAACGTGCAACCAAAAAGCTTCTGTTATCTGTCAGTCCAATGCTGCTCACTTCTCCTGTGTGACCTCAAAGCTGTGATGGAGTTTCTGTTGAGTTCTCTGTGTAGACTATAGGATAGTAGGGAAGCACCGATTTTAAAGATTTTCTTGGCCGATACTGATAGTTGGTTATTCACCAGGCATGTTGGCCAATATCGATCCGATTAACAGATATACAGGAGCACAGACAAGCAATGTGGAGAGCAGCTCGTTGCAGGGAAGTCTGTGCAGGCGGAGGTGTGTATAGGGGGGGTCAAGGCCTCCACAGTGAGGGAGGGAGTGGGGCAGGAGCTGGGGGTACTGCCCAGCCAGGACAGCGAATGGGACCCTGGGGCTGGGGCGGGGAATGGGATGGAGATGCAGGCAGCTCATCCAGGGGATCAGCATCCCAGCACTTAATGGCAGCGGGGATGCTTGAACTAAAGCTCATCAAATGAACTTCAGTTTAAGTGCTGCTGCCACCATTTATCAGCACTGGGACACTTCTAGGAGCTGAGCTGAATAGGGCGAGGGCAGAAGCAGGCTGCCCACTGGGCTCAAGGCTCTTCACTCTACTGCCTTTGCCCCAGGAGCTGCATGCTGACTGCGTGTCCCCTGTCTGCTGGGTAGCAGTGGCAGTGGTGAGTTGTACCTCCTGCTGCTGGGCAGGCAGAACTCACCGCCACCACCACCACTGCTGCCCGGTGGGCAGGGGATGCAAGGCCAGCGCATGGCTCCTGGGGCAAAAGCAGCAGAGCAGAGAGCCCTGAGCCCACAGTGGGCAGCCTGCATCCACCCTGTGCACAAATCTGGGGGGCACATGCCCCCCACACCTCGCCTGGGGGTGCATGCAGTAGTGGGGAGCTGCCTCCTGCTCCCTGCCCTGACCCCAGGTCCTATCCCCCTCTCCCCACCCCAGACCCCTTCTCCTTCACAGACTTACCTGCAGGGTGCTGCAGTCCTGGCCACCGCATGGCAGCTGCATACATGCACACGGGATTTGGGGGCCCTGGCCAGAAAGCATCTTATATTTATGGGTGACGTTATCAGCTATACCACCCCAAAAAAGCTGATAGCCAATAATGTTAACTTTCCTTTTATCTGTACCGATCCAACATGCTACCCATATATCGGTGCACCCCTAATTACTAGGTAACCTTTTTTTTAGGCTCCTGCTTAATTCTATATGAACAAAAGATTGGCCCACAGGAGGGGATGTGAAACATCAGTCTTCCTTACTCAAATTTTACCTGCTTTTCACAGGGAAGGCACTTCAGCTCATTTCTGAGCGGGTTGTGATCGGCGGGGTTTGTGGTTGAGAGTGAAGTTGCCGAGCTGCAGTCAGCAGTGGCGCAGCATTGACTTAGCTGAAGCACCCCACAGGCACCACATCAGGAGAGTGTTGCTTTTGATGGGCAAGTGCTTGCTTTTCAGCAGGCTTGCCAACAGCTTGTGCGGGACTCCCTCTCTGGAGGGGTTTTGATTTTTAGCAAATGCTTGGCCCCGGCCATTCCCCACCCCCCCCTTTCCATGCAGGGAGATTCTGCTCAGTGGAGATCTTGTGGTAAGAAGGGGGGGCTGGGGAGCAGTTGACAAGGGTGAAACAACCTGCTACAATAGGTGAGAGAACCTTCTGGGTCGGAGGGTTACCATCATCTCGGTCAAATAGCATTCCTTCATTATGGCATCACTGTGTTCATCCTCTGGAGAGGAAGTAAACCGTGCACTGTAAAGCAATCTGTTGGCAGTTCGCACTTCAATGCTTGAGTTTTTCCAGGCCTCATTTGCTTTGTCACTTTTATTTATTTTTTTTTTTTCTCTTTACGTTTCGGTTTGAAGGTGGTGGTGGTTACGCTGTCAAAAACATGCTTAAAGCACAGCTAAGCGTCTGCTACGAGGACACAGGCAGACAAGGTTCTTTGGGTAAACCCAATATCTTTTATTAGACCAACTAAAATAGTTGGAAAAACAACCTATACCCCTGCTACGAGGACACTGATTTAAAGGAAACGACCTACTGCAGGCCAGAGATACTGCATCACGACTTTGTTTTGGCTTCGTTTTTCTCTTATCTATACGTGGTGTTAATCAAGGCCAGCTTCCATGAAGGTCTAAGGATGGGTGGCAGCATGTGTGTGGTTTTTTTTGGTCTTTTCTGAAATCCATTATGTCACTGAGTTGAAAGCTTGCGTTGCTTCTTATGGCAGCATTTAACAGCTTTTCTGCTCCAGCATGTTTTTTGGTTTTTTTTTTGGTTGTTTTTTTTGTCTCTAAAACCCTTGCCCATGTGACTGCCACTTAGCAGAAAATGTCGTGGCCTATGTGCATTGTTTGAATGGATGTTTAATGTCAATCAGGGCTGTCCGGTGGGCGGCCTGAAGGCTTAATGTGCAGCCCCCGGGCTCCCACCCACTCACCACTCTGCCTGTTGCTCTTGCGGCAGTGGCTGGGGACTCTGAGCTCCTGCTCCCCCTCTGGCATCCTAGTCCCTGCCCCAAATACTGGGGGGGTTGCACAGCGGGAGGGGCCAGGCTGCCTGTTGTGGGGGAGGGAGCTGAGCTGTGCTTGGCAAAGGAGGGAGCGTTGGCTGTGTGCTGCTGGTGGCTTATCTGTGCAGCCAGGAATAGGATGCATGGGGGAGGGGGGTGGTTCCTTGTATGGCCAGGGAGGGCAGCTACAGCATGCAGACCCCAAATGCTCAATGAGTAGCCTTGATGTAAGGTGTCCTGTCGGCATCAAGCAGGGGGTCAAACATAGCACGTGCCTTCGACTGGCCTCTGGAGCAGATGTATTGTTGTGATGATTTATATCTTGGTGGGGCTCGAACCTCTAGTCTGGGCCCCAGGTATTGTGGTTTTGGGTCTTATTCGTGTACCCTGCCGTACAAGCGGAGAGAGCCAAGCTGTGCTTCACAGCTCTGCTGGGATCTGATGATGTCTTCTGTTTATCGGTTTTGTTTTTCCAGTTTCTAGGTGGCAGAGACGCAGTGAAACGCTGCATGGGGCAGGAAGAGCAGATGAGGGAGCCTGGTGCGGAAATAGAGATGGATTGGCTGTGACAGCGTGCCTTAGCCAGGGAGGCAGTTATGATGAAGAGTTCCTGCAGAGCTGGCCTCCACAGGGAACCTCTGAATTCCACATCCTCCACCGTCCACCACGTCAAAAGGTAGGAACAGACCAGCGGGTCCAAGAAGAATTAAATGCATAGCAGTGGTTAGGCCTGCGCCTTAGTTCCCTGTTACTTCGTGTGTCCGTCAAATACCCTAAATGCATCGTTGGGGCTAACTCTTGTGTTTTTCGTTTGAGCAGAACATTAGCAATAGCTGGAAAGGCTTAAGGGCAGAATTGTTCCCTAACACTTTGATTTGATAAGGACAATTACAGATTCATTACTGCTACAAAAAACCCCAAAGGCTCCTCTGAGCACAGCAGCAGCAACCGCTGTAAATTTAATAAGGGAATGTAGCTTTTGAAGTCAAAGTATAATTGGAGAGTAGGTCGTTGTAGGGCTTAAAACCTAAGAGCATGCTTAAAGCAAATAGAAATATATTGTGGTGATCTGTCTTGCCATGGAGCAAGTAAATAGTATTAGCTGAAGTTTGCTTTCCTCGCTCACCTGTTTTATCTGCTTAAAATCAGCTGTGTGCCTTTTTTAAGCAGTAGTGTTTATAAAGCATTCCTACCAATGCTTTAAAGAAAATGCAGCTTAGAAAATACTGACCTCAAGTGGATATAAAGCATGTTTTTTGTTTTTAAAGCATCTTCTAATCTTCTTGTGAGTGGAGGGGAAAGGCTGGCATTTAATTTCCAATACTTGTGCACATTTGTACCCTACCAAATGCGTGTGAATAACTTTTTCTTGGCCTGGTGGATGGATGTGCTTCCTCCATCAGCTTGAGTAACTGGGAGCCAGATCCTGTAAACTAGGCAGAACTCAGGCCCTGGGCTAACAGACCCACGGGAGCCAGATTGTCCACTACATTGTGTTGGGTTTCTTTTCAGCATTGCTGGCTGTACTGGTCAACCCCCATGCACTAGGGCTGTTCTGTGTCTGTGCCCCCAGAGCCTTGCCCCCCACCAAGGGAATCTCTTTGAGAGTAGCCTTTGGTTTCCTGTGGCCTGCTTGAGCAGGGCACTAGGGGCAAGCCCAGGGCTGTGGATCCAGCCGATAGGCCTTGGGGGGGGGTCCCAAAAGTCCAAGTGAGTGACTAATTTAATGCTAACTGTCATCTAGCACTTCTCTCCTAGATCTCAAAGTGCTTTACAAAGGAGTTCAGCATCAGTAGCCCCACTTGCAGATGGGGAAGCGGAGGCGTGGGGAGGGGAAGTGACTTGTCCAAGGTAACTTTCCTGGGAAAGCACTGTGAGTTGTACCCTGCGGTCTGGTCCCGTGTAGCTGGCGGCACCGTAGTTATGGAAGTGCAGAGAAGGAGGTTGCGTGTCTCGCTGCAGATTCTCTTCACATATTTGATTATTAAAATGTTTCGGGGTTTAGCCAAAAGCATCCTGTTTGGCAATGCTGCTGTGATGCCTCCTGTTCTCATCCTTCTCAATAGGATTAAGCTCCCCCCTCAGGAGAGTTCCTCGCCAGCATGTTGCATTATGGGAAATGTAGTCCTCGAGGGGAGTTTGGTCCACAGAAGGAGGAAACTGATTAGGTGGAAAATTTTTCTACCAGCCATAATAGACTTCTGTTCCATATTCTGACCCTTCATAAAGCAAATAGACCAACCAACCTGTGTTTCTTGGCCAGGAGTTGGCAGTCTTTTAGGAGCAGTGGACTGAATTAAGGGAGCTCAGTCTGAAGGCAGACTACTGCCACTTCACCTCCCAGCACTGTCCCGGCTGGGTAGGCTGGATTAAATTGCTTGGAGGGCAGGATTTGGGCTCTACCTTGCCAACTCCCTGTTGTACACTGTTGATTTGTGAAGATATAACCAACTGGTTCACATTTGAAGTATGCTCTGACGTCCTGAGTCTGGAGGCAGCTTGAAACAACAATAATAGCTCCTAGGCCATGCCTCTTACTAGGAACAAAGGTGTGATCTTGGTTCAGTTTAGCAAGCACAGATACTAGTAAGCTATTTATTATGAACATGAAGTAGTTTGTTTTAACCTGAGTTAACTGTTGCCATTGACCTCTGCGTTTCCTTCACAAGCTAAGGTACCTCATAGTTGGTAGGGTCGGAAGGGACCTGAGGAGATCATCTAGTCCGACCCCCTGCCATGGCAGGAAAGAGTAATGGGGTCAAACGACCCCGGCCAGATGTTCGTCCAGCCTTTTTTTAAAAACCCCCAGGGTAGGAGCCAGCACCACTTCTTTTGGAAGTTGGTTCCAGATCCTAGCTGCCCTGACAGCGAACTAGCACCTCCTGATGTCTAGCCTGAAACTACCCTCTGCCAGCTTGTGTCCGTTGTTTCTTGTAACTCCCGGGAGGAACAGGGACTCTCCCAATGCCTGGTGGTCCTCCTTAACTAGTTTGTAGACTACCACTAGATCCCCTTTCAGCCTTTTCTTTTGGAGGCTGAACAGGTTCAGGTCCCTCAGCCTCTCCTCGTAGGGCCTGCCCTGCTGCCCCCTGATCATGCGGGTGACCCTCCTCTGGACCCCCTCCATGCTGTCCACATCCCTCCTGAAGTGCGGCACCCAGAACTGGACACAGTACTCCAGCTGCGGCCTGACCAGTGTCGTGTAGAGGGGGAGGATCACCTCCTTGGACCTGCTTGAGATGCATCTGTGGATGCACGACAAGGTGCAGTTGGCCTTCCTGACCGCGTCCCCACACTGTCAGCCCACGTTCATTGTGGCATCAGTGATGACTTCAAGATCCTTTTCTGTCTCAACACTGGTAAGAAGGGAGTTCCCCAGCCTGTAGGTGTGCCGCTGGTTCTTCCTCCCCAGGTGCAGCACCTTGCACTTGTCAGTGTTGAACCCCATCCTGTTCTCATC